TAAGGTTTGGGGTTTGGGGTTTAGTTAGGGGGCATACACAAAAGGTTATGGTCTGGGTTGTTCTGCCTGGGGCTTTTATCCAAACTTGCAAACTTTGGGATTTGACGATGATGCTTTGGGGGGGTCCGGGTTTGGGGACTCGCTGCTAGATCTTCGAAACATGTTGAGGAGCTGTGTTCGGATCTGGAGTTTCTGAAACTACGGAAGGTGCCACCCCCAAGTTTTCAGCATGCTACTGAAGATTCCCATAAGTAGCATGGAACCTCCTCAAACAGCTCAACACAAGAAAACTAAGCAAATTGAAGAAGTTGGCGACAGCAGGTGTCCACAGAGACGTCCCATCATCGATCTTGCCGAGAGGCCATGTGACGATTCACGAATGGCCTGTCTGAGGATGGAGGGTGCTAGTGACTATATAGGGCCTCGGACTACGAAGGCTTAGTTGTATTCGTAGATGTATTCACGACGTCTGAAGATCTGCGTCTACGGCTGACCTATGATTGCAAGCGGAATCTGGTATACTGTGCCCCGCAGTACCCACGAATTCTGGAACCACGAAACAGTGTTGTTGAGATTGGAAACAGCTTCGTCCGGGTTTGGAACCCACGATCCGAAGGGTCCTGTGGTCACACGAGTATAGGCGCCTCATAGATTAGAATGATCTTTGGGGACATGTCTCGATGCTGTATATTCATAGCCGGACCCTCAGCCGACCATGAGGTCTAGCCTCGAAACCATTTGGAATATGAGCAGAAGAGTGGTTTCAGGTGAGGCTCAACCCCCCCCCCCCCCAGCCCGGTACCCCACTCACTGATGTGTGTACTGGTTTGCTGCTGCTGCCCTCACCGCAGCTGCAGTTGCAAAAAACCCTCCCCAACCTCGAGACGAGCCCTGGTGTCGTTGGGGTGTTGGGTTTAACGAAGAGGCTAGAGACTTTCAATGAGACTTGGAGGTACACTCTGCCAAACAACCATTGCGAATTTCAGAAGCTCAGAGTTCCCAACGGCTTGTGGCTTTAGGGCCATGGCTTACGACGTACAGCATCTTATTGCCTAGGGCTTCTGGCTTTAGGATTCCTTGCGAAGTGCCTGATCGGATCATCTTCCGAATCCGGTAAGGGCTCCACAGTGAAGAGGCCCTTCGCGCTTGCCGCGGAACTCGCCAACCGACGTGCTGTAGGGTTTTAGGGCTTCGGCTTTCGGTGACTTTGGGGAAACCCAGCCCTTTCTGTGTGATCATGACGGGCTGCTTGCACAGCATGCACATAGTTCCCATGGGTGCGAAGAACTTGGGGTGATTTCTAGCAGTCGGCCAACACACAAGCGCAATCTGGAAACAGCAACACTCAACATCACAGGGAGACAAATTTAAAACAGTCAATATGCCCGGCACTGTATCGAAGACGACTTTTGATCTCGCGAAACTGCTGCTGCTGCGACGGGCCAAGACCGCAACGACAACAACGTTACTGCTTCTGTTGCTATGGTGTGATATACCTCCTGCCTCCAACCCTTCCTCCAAGTTCGAACGACGATGACGACGACGAACACGACGACGACAAAGGACTTCTACTGGTGGCTCCTGCTGCTGCTGATGCCGTCACCACCGCCACCGGTAGTGTGGCACTGCGTGACTTAACATCTCGGAACCGTATGCTTTAGAGCCCTAGACTGTAATCATAATCCCGAGTATCCTACAGGCCCTGTACCCTGCATGCGCAGTTCAAGATAAAAACACGCTCCAAATTCCAAGACAGCCCTTTGCATATCATAGCATAGCATGGCATAGCCTAGCGTAGCATAGTAGCGGAGGGAACAAATCAAATGCACACACCAAGTTGAACGATGTAAGTGGGTGAACAGCGGCAGCAATACTTCTCATGAGCAACAAAAGAACTATACGTTGAAACAGACGAACAGTGACAAACATATAACCACCAAGAAGGAATCCATATGTGCAGAAAATGTAGCCAAGTATATGTGTGTGTGTGTATATGTTTGTGTACATATGTCTGCATATATGCATGTATGTATGACTGTATGTGTGTATTGGCACGCAGGTGTGTATGTGTATGTGTGTATGTGTGTATGTATGTATGTATGTATGTATGTATGTATGTATGTATGTATGTATGTATCTATGTTTGTGTGTATG